GGTGGGCAGGCCCGTGGCGCGCGCGTGTAGCACGGCGCTGCCTACGTCACCCCTCCAGGCGCCTGCGAGGTGGGCAGGCACGTGGCGCGCGCGTGTAGCACGGCGCTGCCTACGTCACCCCCCCAGGCGCCTGCGGCCTGTGCCCTGCACTCCTTTTGCCGCGGGCAGCGTTTATTCAAATGGCCGCGATTTGAAACTAGCGGCGCGGGGACGCGGCTGGTCTGGGAGGGGCGTGAGACTCGTGGGGTTGGGTGGCCGCGAGGGCCGAGTGGATGCGGCGCTGGTGTTCTTTTGTTGGGCGCAGGACTTCCCGACGGAAGCCGAGGAAGTGCCTCTGTGTGAGTCGGAGATAAGGGCCCGGCCCGCGCTGCTAGCTCGGGGCAAATATGCGGCGGCCGCGCTGGGCCGGGCTGGGCAGTCCGGCAGCCGTTTGGAAAAAGAGTAATAGGAGAAAAATACGACAGAAAAGTAACTGCTGCAGGGTAGTGTAACCGCGCCCGGCGTGCTCACGGAGCAATCTGTTACTAAAATCGGCCGGTGAAAAAGGGGGGGGGGGCAGGCTTGTCTTCCCCAACGTGGCGGACGGACCAAATGTATCAGATGCGCTTCACATAGCTGTCCGCAGCAGACAGGGAAGCTTTGTAGTGGCTATTAGCTTTCCGGGCCTCCGGTTTTTTTCTCATATCTATCTCTACATTTCATGATTCAAGTCTCTTGCACTTTTTCTGAGCGCTCCGCTCAAGTGCAGTCTCTCTCCGGCCGGGCCGAGCGGCCCCTAGCAGTGGCCGAGCGCCACAGTGTACAGCTCAGGCAAATAACTACTGTCTTGCTTGTTGCAGCCCGAAACATGTCCAGCATCGAGACATGGCAGAGGCCCACATACGACGTCCTTCCCGTCCCCAAGGGCTCCTGGCAGGCAGACTATGACAAGAAGAACGCCAAGGCCAACATCGTCCTAGCCGTCGGCATCGTGACTTTCACCGCCTCCATGCTGCACGTAAGTCATCTTTCAATTAAAATTATACCTACTGAGAAATACTTCAATGGTGAAGTCGTTTAGGGTTGTCGGGTCCGACGAATGGCCCTGGCTTGGCCGCCTATCAGTGCCAATAGTGACTCGCTTATCTGTTAACGATGACGCGGACACCGCAGTCGAGTACTCGGCGTTTCCTCCTCCACGCGGGTTTTTCGGTTGTGGCCGCATAAGGCTGCCTTAGCTCGGAAAATCGTAAGGGGGATCCGCGCCCATTCAATTTCATCGTTACCGCTGAACTTATCCCTTTTTAATGTTCTGTTGCAGGCGCTTATTGATCCTCTGCCGCCGGTCACCAAGGCTGACCTGCCAGCTGATCCTCGCACCCTATAATAAATTAAATTTAGTTACTATCGTGCTCTGGATAGAACCTTGTTACAACTTTGTTTGAATAATGTGCAATAACATTCATCAGCATTGAAATATTCTTTGTTTCATTCTCCTATTTGCTTGGCACATGTCTTAACAGATGTCACTCAATATATAATAAATAAATAGGTAATAAATTTACAACTCCTCTAGCAGGGCTTCCAGTTATTTATTTTCCCCCTTCTGTTCACTGCGGCCAAGGTGCGGCTGAAAACGTTCGGTACTTCCACGGTGCCGTGCCCACCGTGCCTATATACTTACGCTTAGGCCAAAAGGGAAGTCGGGGTGCCATTCAAATGCCAATGCCAGCCTTTTATGAACCAAGCACATATTGTTGCTGACGACTGCCTCTCTATTAATATCAAGTAAATGAGCATCACTTCTTTGCAGGCTTCGAAGTTAATTTTCCGTTTACAATTTCACCTACACCTACACTTTGCGTTCTTTCTCCCGATGGATGTTATTGGCAAACCTGCGTCCTCCCTTCCCCCTCCTCGCACTGCTTGACAGCAGCCAGCTGATAGGTGGTCTGCTCATGAACTGCCAAATGCCCGTACATGCGTAACTTTCTGATCAGTTGGGGTATATTGCTCGCCTGAATAGGCCACCAGATTGGCATGGCCAGTTGAAAAACACATCGGCAATATGTCATTCTGGGGTCGCCTTTTGGCCTTTTCACTAAGCATCCAATTTTCGGTTGCCCTGTTTTATTATGAGAACTCTCAAAATAATAGTGGATTAGTGCCCATTGTGATTAACGATGCTGCAGTGAACCATAACTATTCTGACTTTCATGTTAATTCAACCACTGAGTATTTGTTTGAATTTAAAATTAAGAAGGTGAGTCCTTTTAGTTCGGCATCGTGTAAAAGTGTACGAACACTAACCTAGCTTTGAAGTTGTTAGTTTCGATGACTTCGTTTCGATCACGAACTACGTTGTGACAGTTCGTAACATGCTACATTTGGATAATTTTCATAATTGCTACTTCAGACCCTGTCCAATGATTCTCGACCTGCTCGAGTGACAGTAGGTTGTTCAGATGCCACAAGTACTCATCCAGTATTAGTCGTGTTAAGGCAGGCTAAAGGGGTTTTATCTTGGCAGCTTCCCCTTATGGTGCCAACTAAAAGTAATGTGTAAGTAAAATTTTCCTGGTTGATTTCTTCTAAATCTCTGCAACTAAAACAATATTAAGTTACACTGGCTTTATTTCAGAGTGGAATATCATACAACATCGAGGACTCTTTGTCCTAACAGTAATTACCGAGATGTCAATTTAATGATGCCACATTATAAAAGTCAATCCTTTCTTCTTCATGGTTCGGTTCCGAGTGAAGAAGAAGTAATCATAAATATTGCAACATCATCTCTTGTAGATGTTCCATTTTTCCTAAAAGTGGAAATTGTTCCAGACTTCATTGTTACGTAATTATTTGTTTTCTATAATGTATCTCAATTTTACTTTATAGTAATATAATAAGATAATATTATTACTATTCTAAATTCTTTTGTAGTGCCAGTGATACTAGGGAACTAGTCCCCGTCAGTCCCAGTGAGCCAAGATTTTATCAGTTTAACTGGTCTAAAGCAAAAAATGCATCCAAATCAGTAGTTCTTCGAGTTGACTCAGACGATGAAGTGTGTATGGTTGTTTCAATTCAAAATATCAGTGTAAGTGTAAAGTTATGTGTGAGGATTTTTAAAATCTTTACTTGTTTTTGTCATTACTGTACTGCTGGAATGGAATGTTTTACCTTTCACAGTGTCCTGTCTTTGATTTGGAGCGAACAGTGCAGTTTGAAGGATACCGACAAACAGTCAATTCACGAGGTGGCATTACCCTCACTGTATGCACAAATACTTATTACTACATGTGCAGTATACACTACATCAAGTTGTTGTATCAATTTTTCCTTTTATTTTCAGCGTGATCTTTTCCCTGATGGATTCTACATTGTTTTTGTGGTGAAAGGAGATGACTATGATTGCACAGGGAAGATTTCCTCTGTATCTGTGCGAAGTAAAAATGTCACATTTTCATTTCAGTCAACTGTTAGTTATACAGAATACATCAGTGCAACAATGGCCGCTTTCTTTTTCTATGCTTCATTTTATGCTTTGGCTGTATTTTTATGTCTGGCATATTATTTAACGTGAGTATGGGATACAGAGGTTGACAGACAATGAATGATTACTCTGCTATGGATAGTTCTTGTAATGCCTGTCTTCTTCTGTTTAGTAATCGGAATAGTCCTGACTTCATCAATGAACTTGTAAATGCAACATCTGTTCAGGCTGATACAATTGTAGCGTCTACCTCAGATCAGGGATCATCACTCAGTAGGTCAAGAAGAAGTTTGGCCTCAACATCTGGAAATGATTCTACTTTTCAGACCGATGGTATTTAATTGTTATGAATTATGAAATTAGATTTCAGTTGAGGGTGAAGTTTAATTTAAGATTGTGTCGTTGGACTTGCATCATTCTTCTTTTTATAGAAATCCCTGATGATATTGCGGATGAAGAATTGATTGCTACGTATGATCATTTGGACGATGCAAGCACAGATAAGGATGTGATTCTGTAAGACATCTAAATTGTAAATTTTTATTTGTATGTTTTTGTGTAATTGAACTTGAGGGATTCTTTCTTACAGTTCGAAGAGACATTTGTATGTCTGTGACCTTGCACGTAAACCTCACAAATCTTTACAGAGAAAGTCAATGATGTATGTTGGAAGCCTTTTAACTGTTGCGACATTTTATGTTTTACCTGTTGTACAGTTGGTTGTGTCCTCTCAAATGGTCAGTATTTCTGAGTATTCATAGTACCAACATTTTTTTTTATTTTTTTTGTTCACTTATTACCAAAGTTTCTTCCACATTACAGGTTCTTCAGCAAACTGGCAATCAGGATTTATGCTATTATAATTTTCTTTGTTCTTATCCGTTGGGACTTTTGAGTGACTTTAATCATGTGTTTTCAAACATCGGCTATGTTCTTTTGGGCCTGTTGTTTGTTTTGCTTGTTTACCGAAGAGATAGAATGCACTATAATGCAACTATCCAGAGACCTGATTTAAGAGAGGTAATAAACTCAAAATATTTTTTGAATTTTGCACGTCTGTTTACAAAAAAATTTGAGTTTTCTGAATTGACTAATCTTTAACAACCTTTCTTGAACAGCTGGGTATTCCTCATCATTTTGGATTGCTTTATGCTATGGGTACAGCTTTGATGATGGAAGGTGTCCTTAGTGGTTGTTATCATGTCTGCCCCAACCATTCTAATTTCCAGTTTGGTAAGCACATCACACATGCCTTTTAATTCTGAAAACATTTTTACAAGTGTAATTACCTTGGACTGTATACATAGAATAACTTTTTCTCTCTCTTTCCCCCCACCTCCCTAGATACCAGTTTTATGTACGTTATTGCAATGCTTTGTATGTTAAAAATTTATCACACACGACATCCAGACATCAATGCAAGTGCTTATGCAACTTTTGGTGTACTTGCATTAGTTATTCTGGTGGGAATGGCTGGCATTTTAACTGGAACAAAGGGCTTTTGGGCAGCATTTTCAGTGCTCCATGTGTTAACATGCCTATGGTTATCTGGTGAGATATACTATATGGGTAGGATGCGTTTTGGTAAGTATCAATAAACATTAAGCTGTGGTGTTGCTCCCCCCCCCCCCCCCCAATAACAGTGCAATCTCATTCTGATTTTCTTTGATCTCCTCTCCAGGTTTCTCCATGGTTCAACGAGCATGGAATTTAATTTTTAGAGAGATAATTCCTAATCCATGTGCATTCTTTAAACCAAGATACAGAAGTAGGCTGGTTCTTCTCATTTTAGGTACTATTCATGAAAATTTTCACCATTGGATGTATGTACTCAAACCCTAGGTATAATTTCTACCAATTTACATTTTGTTCAGGAAATATGTTCAACTGGGCACTTGTTGCTGCTGTCTGGATTTATCATCTTGATAACAGTTTTGGTACATACCTACTAGCAATTTTTATGGCTAACTTGATGCTGTACACCATTTTCTACATAATTATGAAGTACCTGTGTGGCGAGAGACTTTTACTCCAGCCTATTGCCTACCTAATCCTGGCTACTGCAGGGTGGGGAGCATCTCTTAATTTTTTCCTCCGCAAGTCCACGTCATGGGCGGTAAGTGCTCATTATTTTTACATGGAACTCTTTTTCACTATTTGAAAACACTGACAAATTTAATTCCCAGGTGACTCCTGCTCAATCACGTGCCTATAATGAGCCATGTCAAATTTTAGATTTCTATGACAGGCATGATATTTGGCACTTTTTGTCAGCAATTAGTATGTTCTTCTCATTCATGGTGTGTACATTTCACCTTTCTTGCATGTAGTATTTCTCATTGGTTGGTGGTTCCTTTACATTCCTTTCGCTCATCGACTCAATTATGACCCTTTTCCCTCCTTTCCAGACATTACTTACCTTAGATGATGATCTAATACATGTTCCAAGAACGAAGATTTCAGTTTTTTGAGAAGAAAAGAATGTGTCCTTTCTGTATTATTTACTTTCACGTATATGTGTATAGACTTGCTGAAACTGAACTGTGATACTATGTGTGGCTCTGTTGCCAAAATTTTGTGTACCTTGCCAAATCTTGTAAATGTTATGGTTAAAAAAAGTTGGGTTGTATTTTTTCATCATTTATTGGATACTTCGATCTTAGGGATTGTACCCAAACTACGTGCCATTTAGGGGGGGGGGGGTGTACAAATATTGGGTTCCAAAAGAATCAGGAAGATCATTTGAGTCCTTAGAGACCCTATATTATTTTTACCCCGGGGTACAAATA